TAAAATACATTTTTGTGCATGTTAAAAGGACTTTACTATCCCTGCAAATAAATTGCAATTCTCCCATCACAATTCAAACCCCTTCTCCGTTTTGGTCTCACAGCCTAAAACAAAATTTGAGATTCAAAATAAAAACTTGTCGTAAAACGCATCTTTTTTTTCAAATAATAAGAACAATAAATGAACATTTCTACTTCGAACTTAATACAAATTGTAACAAGGACACTGCAATGCAGAACATCCCCCCACAAAGATCAAGGCGGCCTTCGAAATCGATCCCTTTGCAAATTACGTCACTTCCGTTCGTACAGAATAAATTCACTCACCCACAAACAAAAACACATTTCCGATAATCTATCACTTCCAACTCCTTAGCCAGGGGATAACACGGAACATCCCCCGCAAAGAGCATATGTATAAATCAAGGCAGCATTAAACAATACAAAGTAACACACACACACAAACACAACAGCAGTATATCCCCTATGTTGCGAGGGTATAAAAACTAGACTTCATTACTATATGCTTCTATGGTGTATATGCATCAACAAAGAATGATTACATTTGTTAAGTTCCGTATTTTGATTGTAGTTTTAAATTAAAGAATTACCTTTTACATTCTTTTTAAAATTTGATCGTTTACTTCAGCATCAGAAAGGATAAAGCATAATTTACTTGCCAAAAGGAACGTGAGTCATGCCTGTCAAGAATTAACCCTCGCAACGGAGTTGGAGGAGGCAAAGGTGGCAGAGGATAGTTTCGAATAAAGTACCGGTCAAAAAATAGAAAAAATAGAGAAACCTGAGGTTTGAATGCTTATTATAGGTAATTTTATAGCTAGAATATTTTATGGGTGCATTTGGAGGGACTTGGTGGCCTTGGTATTTTATTGAAATATGACACTTTAGTGTCACTACTACTGTATATGGGATATGGACTAGAAATACGAAACTAAGCTCAAAACTCGCTCTACCGGTATTTCACCAGAAAAGCGGGGTGGGTTCACAGGATGAATTGTAGCTTGAAAACGAGGTGGTTGAGCCATTATCTCTTGCTGTTCATTGGTAAGTACAAATGTTATTCTGCAATTTGTGTGGTAGTTTAGGTCAGGCGCACGGGCCTGGAAGCAGATGCGGCTGCGGCGAAATAGTGAAAATAGGCTTGATTCACATGAAATTTTGAGATTGTCCCTGCGCCATCTTTAGGGCTCATTCTGTAAGTTGTACATGTTTTATTCCTAAAAGCTTCAAATTTCTCAAGGGACTACTTCATACTATTATTACATGTAGAGGGAATTTAAAATTTTTCAATGCACATTTTTAAAGCAGCTCAATATTAAGTAAACCGTCAGTCAAACGTTTTGATTGCAAAAAAAACTATCCTCTGCCACCAAAGTAACGCGCTTTGAGTGGAGGGGTTAGTTTGTTCTTGTATGCGAAATGAAAGTGACGGTATTTGCATAGCGATCGATGTCAAAGGCTGCTTTGACTTTTGAGAGAAGATGATTCGCTTTGCGATGCCTTTGTTTACAAGGATTGAAATTATACAATATAATATATCGTCAATAACTTGCTTAGCGAAATGACTTGCTTCCTATTTGGTTTTTTAATGTTTCAAAAATAAAAGTTACCATAATTTGTTGATTTCTTTTTAATGGACTGAGAATTCAGGTTAAGACCTGACAGAGCGGCTCTGATTTTGTCATCTAGGTTTTTGGGACCCTTTATTCTTGTTGTGATTAGGTATGTATCTATGTGGGTTTGCTGATGCATTATCACAAATCCATTGACAGGATCATCATTAACGTACAAAATTGTCTGTGTACCTAGTTTTTCTGAAAAAAATTAAAATAATCTTAATAAAAAATATTTATAAACAGCGATGTCTATTGTTATTTATTATAAATGTTAAAGGCGAAGATAACGAATAGTGATCGATCTTAAAACACCTAAAAGCAATGCAAATATGTGAGGAGGGCAAATGGATAATGTCAAAAGCAAATACCGCTAGGCTATGGAGATAATTTATGATCAAGTATTTCTGATAGACTGCCTACCCTGCAAAAGTTAAATTCCTATTTTCTGTAAAGAAAACATATTATCTTCTTTTTCTCACTTGACATTGGTGACAAAAATATTTACTCCATCACCATCCCTGCCCAGTATCCATACTATCCTGGTCTATTAGATTTATTCATCAATATTTTTTTTTTGAGAAATATGTCTTGAAATAACTCAAATGTATAGTAAAATAGAACAAGACCTTTTGTGGACATCCGAATAACTTCAAACTTCACTGCTTCGGTTGGAAACAAATCGGAATCCAAAGGAACAAACATCAGTGCTGTGGTACGACATTCTTTTGAATTTCTAAAGTGATAAATTAAAGAAAAACTTTGGGCAAATTTTATGTTGGGTGAAAAAGGCAAGCGAACTATCTATAGTGCGACAAACATAAGGGGGGGGGGGGAATTTAAATCTCAATTATATCAAAATTTTCTTTGATATTTCATCTTACAGTAAAGTGTACTTATTGTAAATTTTAACAATTTGCAAAAATCAGACAAAGAAACACAATTTTTCTAACTTGGGACTTGGCTACATTGTCTGAAAGTTAATCGAAAAAGTTTGTGTAAAAATATTTTTTTGGTGAACAGAAGCTTTGAGCAAGGACCCACTATACTTTCAAAATATATTTTTATGACAAAGCATTCAGATATTTCTAAGAAATACTTGCAGTGTTTTAAGACAAGGGTCATATCACAAAATATGATTTGAATGGCACCCTCCACCAGGAAATATGTACGGTAGTGGTAAATGAGTTACACTAGAAGCAATATGATACTCAAGATTTTTGAATTGAAAAAATATTTTTTCGGGGAATTTCTCAGAAAAGTTTTGTGTATTGAAATTTTATATTTTTTTTAATAAGGAAGACTTAACTTTGAATGCTTAACTCAAAAACTGAATAAGATTTTTATTATCTGAATCTATAGGCACTCTGACGTCCTGCTCACCCATCTTCTTTCATTTTCTACATGTGTATAAGTGTATTAACCTCGATCAAAATATGATATGAAAAATTCTAATTTTTTTTTTTAAATATTGGAAAACATTTAGTAAAAACAATAATTATGTATAAAGATGATTTCTTTTAAATTGTTCTATCCAATAAGATGAATCCAAATCATGTACAATTGGTTTGCTGTGCAATAAGAAAAAAAATTGTGTATATACGATTTGACTAGCTCCGCCCTTTATGTTGTATAATGATAAGAAACTTACGGAAACCAGCGATATAGTGTGTTTACCAAACTCCCATTATGAAGAACCTCAAAATCTCCATAGGTGTTGTCTCTGACGTCAGCGCTCCTTGTGTCCATAAGCAGATACCATCGTCCTTTTAACTGATTACACTTTTTTTTTTAATTCTTTCATTATAAAAATGCTTTTAATCAACATCTGCATTGAACAGGGAAATAAAACACAAATATTTCCACATATGCATTTTCTTCTTTAACAGATACAATTGAAATTTATTAAATTAATCATATCTACGTCCTACATAGCGTACATGTATTTTTGATGTCTAGAAAACCAAACATAAAGATATCTTCCTATTTGTTTTATTACTTAATATAAAAAAATTCTGTAACTTACACAATTTAAACCAAATTCGTTTCCAAGTTTTAAAAATGTAAAACAATAACCTATAGTATTTATTTACTGCGTCCACATTAAAATAACAAAAAAATCATTTTAAATAAAGAAATATTAGGTTATTCAAGTTCAAAATCAGCAAAATCTAGATTTGAACATATATAACAATGTTAATATTAATTATTTCCACAATCAATCTTGTACTATCATTTTGTAGTTCAGATACGCCATAGCTTTAAAAATATTGGTTTCTTCAACAGCAAGATCGTTTTCATTTCTCAATTTTTATCATTATCCACAATAAACAATGTAACTTCAACTTCCCTGTACATAAAATAAAAAAAGTTTACATCATTCTCCACAATAAGCTTCGATAGGAAGCTTCGACAAACGATAATATTATTAAGTGGGAGAAACGCGAAAACCAAAAAACATTTTTTAATTCACCTTTCCGTGGTCCAGACGCTGTGGATTCAAAGATTCACTTCTTTTATAGCTGCCAGAAATCTGAGATGATGACGTCTCTTGACAGAGAGAAAATAGAAAAGCAAGGAGAGGCAATACTTTGGTAAACATCTTAACTTGACTCGGATCGAAAAATTAGAGCATGAACAATGACAAAACTCTGAAAAGATCTTACAACTTTTGTATCTCGCTTATTTTTATAAATTAGTCTGGTCTTTTCTAGAACGATCTAGATTATCAACAAGCTCAAACTATAAATTAATTATAAGCAGCTAAGGAGAGGGTACGCATTGACTTTGCCAGTTAACCAATCCTGTTTGAATTACTCAATAAAAATATGTTTAAAGGTAGTTATATACAGCTGTGTCAAAAATTTACGCACTTAGCATAACAGAATAGAAGGAAACAAATTAACTTTGTAAAACACTAATGACCTCGAATTGCAGATCAATATTAAATCATTGAAGGCCACGCCTCAAGTTAATTGGTTCAAAAATGTTGGTACGAGGGTTGATCCAAAAGTAAAGTCACAGTGTCCATATCTTTTATATTTGGCGTCAAAATTTCAAATATGAAATACCAATAGATACTACACATATACGAGGGCCGTTCAAAAATTACGCGGACTTGCTGCACAGAAAAAATATTTGACGACATAATCGGGCAAAATGTCGCACATAATATAAAAGAATCTTTACTTATATGGTCTACAAAATTTCATATCAAAATGTTGTAAATTGTATCAATTTTGAGTGATTTTTCAGGACATATCATTAAGTCACGGAGCAGCAAAATCTTCGACGTCACAGACATTATAAAAAAAAATGTGATTGAGCTTTCATTTTCTCAACATTTCCCCAAGAGTACCTGTACAGTTTGAGTTATCTTATCTACTCAACATCCAAACACCATTTCTTGTCAAGCTTTAAATCTATTAAACAAGTAAAGAATATTCTTTTTTTGTTTTAAAACCAAAAACTGCAGGTATTTCTCAGATATAGTGTGATATTGGTGACTCTCAATCACGTTCTTTACAGTCCGGATAAAGTTTTCGTCGATAATCTTCTTCCTGTCCTCCCGTATAGTCATTTTACAGAGGTCTAACGGTATAAAATTACTATTTGCTCTTTGTGGACGAATGTCACGAATACCCTAGTTTACTACATGTTTTACTATGCATATTTTGGATGTATGTTGGCAATACTCGAGCATTACACATAATTTAACTAAAGTGTGGTGCGCCGTCAATTCACGAGACGTCATTTTCTCAGTCGTTTTCACAGGAATCGCATCAGAGGAAAATCACTTTATTTCTGTTAGTACTTCAAATATCACGTCAGAAATCCAAATACATAATAATAGAACAATTTAAAGATACATTTGAGAAAATTGTCGAAAAATATTGCGAATTATAGAAAGTAAATGAGTTAAATTTTGGATTCCGCATGCTTTTGCTTCAATTTTTTTTTTGTCGTGCTCCGTACCTCTCCATCAGCGATATCAACATACCGATAATTTTAGTAGAATTTTTTTAAAATACAGAAATTTTGCCCCAAATTTATTGGAATCTTTGAGATACATATTTCTGTGAAATTTCATAACTCTATGACGTCTGTAAGAGTAAATAATAGCACAGTCCGCGTAATTTTTGAACGGTCCTCGTATAAATCTAATCAACATTGAAATTTTCATTTAATAATGTCTGATTGAATTTATTTTATAGATATTTAAAACCTAAAATATGGAGGGGGGGTTGACGCACCACAGCTAAACGTCACATTTTAACTTGTATTTTTCTTAGAATGAAAAAGACAAACACATTAAAAATCATCTGAAAAAGCTGCTTATCGCCCAATATTTAAAACAAAACAAAATTTATGTAATTTTTAAGTCTTTAGTTGAAAATTAAATGATCAATTTATAATTTTGATCCATAAACATTGTTGCTTTACTCTGGTGGAGAGAACAAAGGACTTGTCGAAATGGAAAAAAACGTCGCGACGAGCTGTAATGCATTTTTGTCCCAAAATGGAGAAATCTCCAGTAGAAACAGCTACGTTGATACATCATACTCACAGAAGAAAGACTGTAAATTAGAGACTTCTTTTTAAATGGTTTCAGTAATTTATGGAAGGTGATACATCATTGAAATATCAGAGCAGAGGACAAGAACAACGAAAGATGGGAGGTCGGACGGAACGTTCAGTGTGGTTCAACGTTGTCAAAAAAGACAGACGGTTAGAGCGAGATGTGAAATCTTAAGTTTGTCTCATGCTACTGCTCAAAGACTTTTGACAGAAGATTAAGTATGAAAATAGTGAGTATACGATGGATATTAAGAATTCTGAAAGAGAGTCAAATTTGTGAACATGTTCGTGAATCTCCAATATTTAAGTGAAACGGAAGGGAAACGTTTAAATCTATGACGGCGCGTATCCGTCATATGACATTATTGAGTTGCGGCGACTACCATAATCAAACATTGTGCATAATCCGATATTTTGAAAAGTTGAAAAGTATTAATCTTATTGAATTGAAATTTTCAGGTCTGATTTGAAATAAATATAGCTTCCATCATTTATAATTCTAATATTTTACGTTATTTAGCAGCAATTTTATCGAAGTTGTGACATTACTTTTGGATCAAATCTCGTACTAGTATCAAATAAAAAGGTCTTATCATTTAAAATACTCGAGAAATTTATGTACTGAGTATACATGTAACAAGTTAACTCTGCATATTATAAAAAAAAAAAAACAACTAGAAGTACTGTGAGTAATGAGCTCACTGAATGATACCCCATATGAGTATAACTGCAGTGTCCATGTTTTGCTATGGGAAACCCTAAATATGTGTCGGATCAAAACTTAAAACAGAGGGTGCTCAAATATGCACAATGTAATAGAGATTTTGTGAAAGTCCGTCTGCTACGCTCTGGGGTACCCATCACTTATCCACAACACCTCTTATGCCACTCAATCAAATTTGATAAGACTTTTAGAGAATATTTATAACATAATGCCACTGTGTACGTTCTATTTTACCTTTTGATCCGACACATAGTTTGAGTTTCCCATAGCAAAACATGGACACTGTTTGTTAATTTTATCAACAAGAGAAAGAAAAACACGAAACCAAGCGACATTATACTGTTAACTTATTTCAGCTATCTGATCATGACTACTTTTATGAATCCATACTTTAAAAAAGTACATAAATTTAGCAGTAAAGGCTTGTAAATCTGTCATTGATATGAACAAATTTTGTTTCCGTGTCAGGTGTCATTTCTTGTAGCAATATCTTAAGGGCCTTGACAGCGCTCGAGTTATATATACAAAGAGACTGAACGTATGCTTATTACCCGGTTTTGTAACACACCCTTCAAGAAGATGTCGTGCTTACTGATCATGAAGATACGATGTTTTTGCTTTTGGTGACCGAAGAATCTTCAGCTCTTTTTCATGAATGTAGAAATGGTTGTTCTGTTATTTATAGAGAGGCAGAATTGACCTGTAATGACTTTCGTTGGCCATCAATGATTCACATTCTTGTCTTAAGCAATTTTCTGCAAATTTCCATCGAGTCTGTCTATCCGAATATAAATCATGGTACTGAGTATTCGTCCACTTTCTCACAGAAAATTCATTCCTTTGCCATCTCCAGACTAAGAATAACCCGGATATTAGTATAGGAATATTATGGTCGAGAGATGGAAATTTTGATAATAGGACAGTATTTTCCTATGAGCCAAACCATTTTATTCTGTTGTTAGTATTGGATAGATACATCTATCACTATTAGTAAATTTGTTTCTGGTGACAGGCCATGATAAGAAACAAAGTCTAATAAAATCGATGACCATGCATGCATATAAAATTTAAATACAATGTAATACGGTAGCAGAAAATTGGTCTTAAAATTTTCGAAGAACAGTAGTCCACATCTGTCGCGATCGGTGTCTACCGTATAATAGCTTGTGTGCCAGCTGTACATACATTTTTGTCACTGAGTTGGGGTATATCACTTACTTGTATTTACATATAATTATGTTTAATACTAAGCAAAGAATGTTCATCAGGTCAGCTTGCACAGGAATTGTAATAATTTAATGTAACGAAAAATTCAGTTTAACGTTTCTTTTGCATTATTTTAGCATTTCAGTTTCGATGACATCAGTTTGCAACTGAGTTAACCATGTTGTCGGATGTTCAGTTCACTACTGCGGACTATGTCGTATGCGCACTTGCTTTATGTATCTCGCTTGCCATTGGTATATACTATGCCATTTCCGGAGGTCAACAGGGTACCACCGCAGAATATCACCTAGGAAACCGCAATCTTAACTTCCTACCTGTGATGCTATCTTTAATGGTGACCTCACAATCGTCGATTTTGATTTTGGGCGTCCCGGCAGAGACGTACCTCTTTGGTTTCCTGGCAACGTTTGCAGGTTTGGGGTTCTGGGGTGCCTACTGGATTTCTGCACGAATAATTATTCCCGTTGTTTATCCTCTCGGGATCACCAGTGTTAACGAAGTGAGGTTATAGAAAACACCTGATCTGTAGTCTTTTACTAATGTTTAAATTCAATTGAATTTAAATCATTTTTAACTCGAAAAGATATTCAAGTTAATTGAATATATATATATATATATATATATATATATATATATATATATATATATATATATATATATATATATAAACGTTTTTACTAATTCATTTGTAGTATTTTGAACTACGTTACCGAAACAACCGAGTTCGAATCCTGACAACTATTCTCTCCTTTTTATTTTGGGTAAGCTCTGTTTATTTTAAGCTTCGGATAAAGAAATACATGTAGTTCATAGACACTGGAAGTTTTAAAATTTGGGGATATTCTTATTATAGTTTGGGGTTATTTTTATCAATGAAAAGAAAGGTTTAAAATGTCAAGTGCCTATAGTATGCCAATCTGAAAGAAATCTCCACTATAATCGTCGACGACAATAAAAGAAAAAGCGGGAAGGGGTTTTAATTGGACTTGTTGTAGTTGGTTAAATTGTACTGTATTTTGCTTCTTTCTTCTGGTATATTGAACGACTAATGATGCAAATGCATTGCCTAATAA